CNAAAAACCCCCCCCCCCCCCCCCCCCCCACACACACACACACACACACACACACACACACACACCTGCAGGTAGATCATGCTGTGCAGCTCGCTCAGCTTCATCTGCAGCTCCTGCTCGCCCTGCTCCCCCTCCAGCGGCCCTGCACAGCCGCACACGCGCCGCGCATATGCACACAGGCCGCTTAAGCCTCTGCGCCCCCACGACGGCCCTGCCCAGCCACCTGGCAGCCCGCCCTGCCCCCTGGCCAGCTCCCCACCTGGCCAGCTCCCCACCCCCTCTCACCTTCCGCCGCCCTGCGGCCGGGGCGCCCCATCCTCAGGATGGCCTTGGTCATGCTCCACGCCGCGGGCCAGCGGCCGTGCGACACGCCCGTGGGCAGGGTGGCGGGGTTGAGGACCTGGTGTATTTGGTCCACCAGCCGGTGGCGCAGCCGCCCCATCCTCTCCCGCACCTGCGGCGCGAGGCCGCGCGGCGAGGGTAGCCGATCATCAGGCAGGAGCAGCGCCCGAGGCCAGCAGCAGGGGGAGCACCCCCAGCAGGCCACTCCACCGCCCCTCCCGGCCCAGACAAGCCAGCCAGTCCCCCGCCAACCTCACACAGCCTGCTGGGTTGAGCGCACCTCGCAGCTGCAGTTTGCCCCACATGCACCCCCCACGCAATGCCACAGCGCCCCACGCCTGCCACCCACCTCGTCCACCACCAGCCCCTCCAGCTCCTGCACTTCCCGGCGCACGTCGTCAAACTGGGCCAGCGTGGCCGCCAGCCGCCCCTGCAGCGACCCGACCGTCGCCGACAGCGCCGCCACGCCCTGGTGCAGCGAGGCCACGCTGGCGCTGGCCAGGTTGTGCACCTGCGGGGCGAGGCAGGAGGGAAAGGGTGTGTGTGGAAGGGGACATACAGCGGCGCAGCTGCGGTAACGCTGGCTGCGCCGACAGCAAGCAAGCCAGACCCGGCGCCAGCTGCTTGAGCAATGCAGCAACGCGCGGCTGCAGGCACCAAGCCCGGGCCTGCCAGCGCATACGAGTGCGCGCCCTTGCAGGCGCGCACCTGCGCCAGCAGGCGCTCCACATCGTCCAGCACCGCCACCAGGTGCAGCAGCGCGGCGCGTCTGCCCAGGAAGCCCAGCACACGCGTCTCCAGCTCGGGCAGACCCGAAGCCTCCAGCATCTCCACCGCCGTCTCCCTGCGCGGAGCGGGGCGAGCAGCGGCCGGCCGCACGGGTGGCAGGGACGTGTGGGCGTGGATGCAGGGCAGCGGTCGCGGGCAGCCAGGCAGGCGCTCGCAGGAGGGGTCGCCATGCAACCCCCTGGAAGCATCCCGCTGCTGCCCCAGTCATCTGCCGGTGGCTGTGCAGCAGGGAGGCGCCTGCCCACCCCCACACCCGCCCCACCCGCCGCCCCACCCGCGCACCTGATCGTCTCTGGGTCTGTCACCCGCCCCCAGTGCTTGCCAAAGGCAACCTTGCGGAAGGCGTCCAGGTCGTCGGCGGCGGCGGCGGGGCGCAGCGCCAGGCGGGAGCGCAGCGCGTCGCGGGCGCTCACCAGGAACACCTGCAGCGGGGGCGGCAGCGGCGCGGGAGAGAGGGAGCGGGGCCGGCTCAGGGTGTGTGCCACACACAGCAGCGTGCCAGGGCCGCAGCGCCAGCCGGGGTGCCGGCCTGCTCCAGGCGGGAAAGCTCGCCTGCTCGGGCAGCAGCTCAAAGCCCGGCACGTTGAGCTGGCTGGTGACCAGCGCCGCCACATACTCCCGCGTCTCCTCGCCGCCCATGCCCTCGGAGCTCTCAGCCTGTGAGGCAGCAGGAGGCAGTGGCAGCGCTGAGCGCAGAGTTGAGCAGAGCAGCAAAGCGACAGGGATGGGACGGGTCAACAGCGATGGGGCAGATTGACTTGGCCGATCAAATGGGGGGAGCAGCCGTGCTCCTGCCTCTGGCTCCTCTCACCAGGTCCAGTTTGTTTACGACGAAGAAGCAGCGGTGGCACAGGCGGCGCACGACGCCCGGGTTGAGCTCGTGCAGGCGCTGCAGCATCGCCGTCTCCTCGCTGCGGGCAGGCAGGCAGGGCAGGGCAGGGCAGCAGGCGGGAGACCCTCGGGTGCTGGGCAGGGCACCTGCACCTGGTTCCCCTGCGCCTCCCTCCGCGAGGCTCCGCTGCCCTCCCTCCCTCCACCTCCCTCCCTCTCCTCACTTGGTCTTGAGCTTGGACCAGTCGAGTATGTAGAGCACAGCGTCCACCCCCTCCATCAGCCGCTCCACCTTGAACCGCAGGTGGTCCTCGCCCGCCTCGTTGGGGCCTGCAGGAGGCGGAGCGGGGGCGAGCGAGCAAGGCCGGGCAGGCGGGTTGGCAGGCGAGCGGGCAGGCGTCGCCACGGCCAAACATTGTTTTGCCTATGTCGCTGCTGCGTGCTGCCTGGACGCTGCCCACTGGAGCTGGGGCCCACCTGGGGTGTCGAGGATGGTGATGCGGCTGCTCAGAGCGTCGGCCGGCGTGGCCGCCAGCGCGGCGATGGGCATGGCGATGGATAGCGGCTGCTCGTCCGCCACCATGCCCTGCCGGCCGTCGCGTCCCATCGCGTTCAGCTGCCGCAGGTGCTCCCGGATGCCGCCTGCGCCCTCCACCTGCACCGTCTGCCCATCTGGCGTCTGGTAGGCGAGGCGGGGGCCGGGGGCGGTGGGTGTGTGCTGGATGGCACAGATGCGGGCCGTCTCTGGGACGTTGTTGGAGGGAAGCACAGCGGACCCCAGCACCGCATTCACTAGGGTCGATTTGCCTGCAGCCGTACGGGGAACAGAGGCAGAACCATGAGGGGCGGAGATGGGGAGCGGGGAGGGGAAGCGGGCGGTGGGCGGGCGGGTTGGCCGCCGGATGGCGCCGCCAGACCTGACTTGGCGAGTGCCAGAACCGCGAGCGTGCACTGGTCCTCTGCTGCTCTCTCCCGGATGCCCTGGAAAGCCCGGAACAGGCTCGGGAGGGCCAAGTCTGTGTTCTGAGACGCAGAGCCGTGGGAGCCCTCCACGAGACTTGACAGCACATCGCCCGTCTGCTGCAGCACGGCGGCCACCTCCTCTGTCAGGCAAGCCATGATTGAGCGACCTCGCGCAGAGGTGTGCAGCGTGTCGGAATCCTCGGGTGACTCCTGGCTTCCTCTCCTGCTCACGGCCAGCCCAGCCAGCACACTTGCCGATAAGGGGTAACAATTCTCTCTCAGCGATACGGCAGCGGTCCCTCCTAGGCTAGGAGTCCTAGCGCTGCGTGCTGTGCTGTGGTTTTCCACCCTCCTGAGCAGAATTGCTCTCGATGTTAATTGATGAATCGTGGATTGATTGCGAGAGGGTGTAATCGGGGCAGGAGCCCGTCGACAGGCAGCTGCTGGGCTGGGGGTCAACACTGCCGCAGCAATGTTACACGAAATCGCAGTATCAGCATATAAACTGATGAAGAAAGCACCAAGGAGCCAACGGGTGACGCGACGAGCAACAGCCAGACCGCCGCCCAAACCCGAGCCGCCGCCGCCCAACCCGCAGCGGCACACCCTGCCACCCAGCACAGCCGGCATGCCCGTCACGTGAACAGCCAGGCCGTGCGCTTCTTCTCCTTCATCTCCTGCTTGCGCTGCTTCACCTGGCGCAGCTCCTCCCCGGTCAGCGCCCGCTTGCGACGCTCCGCCGCCTTGGCCAGCTGCTGCTCCAGCTCGTGCGGGTTGGCCCAGCTGGCCACCTCAGCATACAGCGACTCCTGCAGGGGGAGACGACATGAGGGGGAGGGCCAGCAGGGGCGGGGCGGCAAGGTGAAGGACGCAGGCAGCGTGAGGCACGGAGAAGGGGGTACAGGGTGCATGAGGAAGTGCAGGCGCGCGCTGGCGCCGGCAGCCCGCGGCGGCGTGCCGCTCCACCCATCTCCTCCCACCCCACCCACATCACGACCCGCCTGCCCGCGGCCCTGCTGCTCACCGGCGCGCCGGGCGCCTGGATGCGCCCCCTGGCCGCCACTCGGTACGCGGTGGCGCCGTAATCCACAGACTGCTCCTGGGCCCAGGCCACCACCTCCTGGATGGAGCGACCCGAGCTGGCCGCCATGCGCGCCACCGCCACCGCCTCGTCGTGCGCGGGCAGCCCAAACAGCACCGCCTCGGCCAGGGAGTGGGCGCTGCCGCGCTGGCGCTCCGCCTCGTACGCCGCCGCGGGGGTCGCGGCGCCGGGCCAGGCAGCCTGCGTGGCAGGGGGCAGGGAGGGAGGGCGGGCGCTGCAGTGACGGGGGCGGCCAGCCTCCAGCATCCACCGGCCACCGCGCATGCCGCACAACATTTCCCCGCCGTGAGCGAGAGCGGTCGGGGCCAAACACAGGCAAGTGTGGTGGCGGCGGGGCCGCTCGTGCCTGCTCCGGATTCTCCATGCGCCAGCGAGCCAGCAGCTCCTCATCCCCCACTACCTCCGCCAGCTCCGCCTGCGACCAGCGCGCCCCGGCCTCCCCTGCCGCCGCGCCACCCTGCGACTGCGCATCGCCGCCGCTGTCACCCCCAGGCCTGCTGCCGGCGCTGCTGGTCCCTTCCCCGGCTGCCTTGCTGGCACCGTCGCCGCTAGCGCCCTCCTTGGCGTCATCGCCGCTGCCAGCGGCGTGGAAGCGCAGGATCGGGAGGTCCATAGCAAGCATGCCGCGTCACTCCCGCAGCTGCTCAGTGGTGAAAGGCCCCTGCAGCTGCCCGGCGGCATCGCGGTAGTACAGCCCTGGCTTGTAGTCACGCTGGGCTGCATGGTGCGGCTGCTGCGCCCCGCCAGCCTCCCCCGCTAGCGCCGGCGCCGCTGGCTGCTCTGTGCCGCGCTGTGGCTGCTCGGCGGCACCAGGCGGGCCACCGGGCTGGCTGGCTGTGGACCACCCCGCCGGTGGCTGCCACTGGCTCACACCCGTCGCTCTGTTGAACCAGTATCGCGTGCCGCTGTTCATATCGACCGCAGACTCCCAGCAGTCGCGCACCCACGGACCACCGCCGCCACCGCCGCCGCCGCCGCCGGCTGCCTGCTCCCAGTCGTGCGCGGCACCCTCTTCGTCTTCTTCAGTTGCCTGAATCTGGTCCGCTAGCTGCTCCAGCGCGGCCAGCTCCGGGTCGTCGGCTGCCGGCTCCGCCATCGCGCTGCTCCCGATAAACAAGGCCGCGCTCCTAACAAACAAGCGCGCAGGCAGTCTGGCGAACGCGCGCGCCAACAATTCCAGCAGAGCGGCAAATGGAGCTGAACAAAATGTGGCGGGCGGCGGCGGCCGGCGGGCTTTACTGTCGCCCCTGCTGATGAGGCATCTGTCATTTCATTCCTGCATCCTACTTCATCCCACAACAGTCCCGATGAAATCTGCGCTTGCTGTTGTGTACTGTCGTCACCTCGCCTGCCGTTAGGTCCCCAACCCACCGTCAACCACCGCGGCGTCACTGTTTTGCCGTCACTGTTTTGCCGCAAAAATGGTTGTATTACACATCACAACAACTTGTGATTGCAGCTTCAAACGGGACACACGTGCCGGTTGCATTGTCGCGCCCCCTTCAACCACCTGCCAGGGGCGTGGGGAGGGACAGGGGCCAGCATGTTGGGAGCATGGTTGCAAGAAGCGAGTATCAGAAAGGATGCAGGCGTGACATCGGCAGTGTGGTCTGACACCTTGTCGATTGATGAGCATGCGGAGAGGGGTTGGCGCAGCATGAGCGCAGCATGATGGCACATCGCTCTGACGAGGCGGCTGGTGATGAGCGGCACATTGGGGGGGAGGGGGGCACGTGGGGGCGAGCGGCATGAAGCACGGCACCCTTACATGTTTTAAGTTCCAAGCACAGCTGCAGGCACCTGGGACAGCAGCCGACGGCGGCAAAGCCACACACAAGAGCCTGGCCGCAAAGGCGTGCAGCGGCACGATGCGGTTGCTCACCTCCTCCCTGTGGGGACAGCCTGCCTGGTTGGATGGCTGGTCGGAACAGAACCACATGCATCGAACGACGACTCAACATGGCACAACTCAGGTATAATCCTGCTTCACCTGGCGCTGGAGCTCTGCTGCAGCAGCAGCCTACTTGCGGCGGCGCGCAAAGAACGACCTCATGAGGTCCCCGCACTCTGCCGCCAGCACGCCCCGTCGCACCACCATGTTGGGGTGAAACGGGTGCGGCCGGGTGGGCTGCACCGCTGCCGCGGCGGCAGGCGCTGCCTGCAGCTGCTCAACGCCGCTGCCTTGGGTGGGAGCACTGCTGGTGCCACCGCTGCCGCTATGAGCGCCGCTGGCGCTTCCCTCGCCAGCCCTGCTCTGCGGCAGCATGGCGATCCAGCTGCCGTCGGCACCCAGCAGGGTGTTGCGGGCACCATACACCACGGTCCCCACCCGAGACTGCAGGCAGACGGCAGTGGGTTGCGGCTTAGGGCAAGGCGCAGGCACATGCCGTGGGGACAAGCACCATGGGGTTGAGGCGTGCTGGCAGACACGCGTGTGCAGGCAGCATGGCACGCAGCGCCAGCTCCTGTGCAGGGCTGCCGTGCACCCGCCAGGGGCACACACAGCCCCGCGCGGCGCACCTGCAGCAGTGCGCCTGCGCACATGGGGCAGGGCTCCAGCGTGACGTACAGCGTGGCGTCCAGTAAGCGCCAGCCGCCTGCCGCCGTGGCGGCCTGCCGGATGCACAGCAGCTCGGCGTGCGCGGTGGGGTCGGCGGCGCCCTCGGCCGCATTGCGGGCCGCTGCCAGCACCTGGCCCCCGCCGGACACCAGCACCGCGCCCACCGGCACCTCGCCGTCATCAAAGGCCAGCCGTGCCTGCTCCAGCGCCAGCCGCATAAAGCGCTCGTCGTCGTCGTGAGGGGCGGTGGCAGCGGGGCCGCCGGCAGCAGGGGCGAGTGGCTGCGTCGCTGCAGCAGTTGATGTGGCTGCAGCCGGGGATGGGCCTGATTGCGGCTCTCTGGTGACATCATGAGACGCAGCGGACAGCGTGATGTCACGGCAGGGCAGCAGCCCCCGCCGGGCGTGAGCGGGCCCTGCAGGTGGCGGCGGCAAGGCGGCAGTGAGCGGGGCACATGCGCTGACGTCGGCTGGGGATGCTATGTCCAGACAAGCTTTCTATGCTGCATCTCTCACCCGCGGAGCACTGCCTGGCGAACCAGGAGGCGGTGGCAACCCGAGTAAAGGACGCCATTCTACCGGCAGTTGCACAGACCAGATGCCAGGTGGTGTGCACAATCCATAACAATCGGTGGCTCGCAGGCTATGGTGAGCGAAGCCAGGCAATGGTCGGCCCAGCACAGCACGGAGTGTGCCCATGCTCCCTGAGCGCTTTCCGCAGCTATTGTCACACATTTCGGCGCGTGTGCGACGCTCCAAGGCCTGGTTCACAATGTCGGAGCGACAGTCAGCAGACATGCCACCACCAAACTCCCAGAACGAGCTGCTCCGCAAGGCTGTTGTTTCGTTGGAGAAGAAGCTGAGGGAGAGCACCGAGCGGGTGGCGACGCTGCAGGCGCAGGTGGCGCAGCGGCAGCAGGAGGTTGCGGAACTGCCGGCGGTTCGTGGGCGCCTCGCCGAGGCGCTGGCTACGCGGGATGCACTGGACCAGCAGGTGGAGCAGTGGCAGCGCACGGCTGCGCAGGCGCGGGGAGAGGTGGAGGATGCGCGACGGCAGCTGGAACGCACGCAGGCGGCAGTGCAGGCCGCTGAGGCGGCGCAGCAGCGGGTGGCGGAGCAGGCGGCTCAGCTGCGAACAGGAGGCGAGGCGCTGCAGCTGGAGGAGGCACGTGCGCGCGGCCAAGCCGAGATGCTGGCTCAGCAGGTGCAGCAGCTGGAGGCGGCCAATGGCAGCCTGCGCCTGGACAACCAGGCCCATGCCGGCAAGCTCAAAGCAGCGTATGAGCGGTACGTGTGGGGGCGGTGGCTCAGGGGGTGGCTTAGGAGGTGGGGAGAGGCAGGCTGGGTGCTGCTCTCATGTCGGTTCCTGCCCCCACCTGCCACATATGCACATTTGCGTCACCTGCACATTGCGGTGCATGTGCAGGGAGGGGGAGCTGCTGGCAGAGGTGGCGGAGCTGCAGGCGCAGCTGCGGCGGGAGCAGGCAAAGCAGCGGGGCGGCGACTTCTGCGTCGGCTCCGCTGTGGCTCCCACGGCGGCGGCAATGGGCAGCAGCAGCAGCAGCGGAAACGGGCAATCCAGCGACTGTCCGGCGGCAGCTGCATCAGGCCCCTGCAGCCTGGAGCAGATGCACCGTGGGCTGTTCCTTGCGGCGGCAGCCGAGCTGACAAGAGGGTTCACCGCTCAGGTGGAGCAGGCAAGTGTGGCAGCATGCCACTGCCCTTTTGGGCTGCAGCAGGCAGCCCCGCCCCATCTGGCCAACCATCTCATGCGCCAGTCCATGCCACATGCGCATGTGTGCAGGCAGACCGCAAGGCGGGGGAACTGGAACAGCGGCTGGCGGCCATGTGCGGCGCCGTGGAGCGCCTGCGGCGCCAGCAGGGCGAACTGCGGGCAGACCTTGGGGAGGCGCAGGCGCGGTGCGGCAGGGAGGCGGAGATGGCGCGGGAGCTGCTGGCCACCAACCTGCTGCTGCACGAGACTGTGGCGGCGCTGATGGAGCGGGGCACCAGTCCCACGGCAACACACGCAGCAGGGGCAGCAGGCAGCAGCGAGGGCTCGGCGCAGCCCAAGCCGCCTCTGGCGCCAAAGCCGCAAGGAAGCAAGCAGCCCCCGGAGCAAGCCCCGGCCCGGACGGGCCTTGCAGGGGCGGCAGGCCGCCAGCAGCCCCGCGCAGGCTTGGCGGGCACGAGGTCCACCGGCCCCGCCAGGCCAACCGGCCGGGGGGCAGGCAGCGAACCCGGGTTTGCCCACCCGGAGCCAGCGGCTCCCGGCAGTTGCGGCAGGGCGTGCCGCTGCTGCGTGGAGCCAGGCAGCCGACAGGCAGGCGGAGCCGACACCACATATGGCACACCCAGCAAGCCGCCCCCCATGCACCCAGCCAGCCCCCCGACGTCAACCAGCGGCCAGGCAGGCAGCGGTGAAGGCGGCTCTGTCTCTATCGGGAGAGCACCGCGAACTGCTGGTGTATCAGAAAGCGCTGGCAGCTGAGCTGCAGCAGGTTGCCAGCAGCCTGGCGGTGGCGGAAACAGGGAAGCAGCTGGCGCTCCTGCGCCACCATGCTCAGGTACAGGGAGAGCTGCGGGGGGTGGCGGCACAGCTCGAGGACAGGGTGCTGCGGCTGACAGCGCTGAGACAGGCAGGGCTGGTGTGAACGCAGGCAGTGGCCAGATGCGGACGCAGCTGGCAGGTCAGGTGGGCCTGCCTCATGAACCAGGGCCACAGCAAGGCCTGGATTTGAGAGTAACCTTCTTACATCAAGATACATTTCCTGTGTAAGGCGTCGTGTAAACAGCACAGGATGTGGGTAAAGGAATGCTGAAATCAGTGCAGAGGAAGCTATAGCAACAGGTACAGAATTGTATACGAAATGGCAACGAGACAATGGGATGGGACCACCTTGCGGCGAAGCGGGTAACAACCGCTACTGATAACGAATAGAAATTTCAGTGCTGGTGGCTGGGAAAGCTGTACGTCAGATGCCATCGCCATCACTGCCGCCGCCACCGGCGCGGCTGCCGCCGCCCCGGCTGATGCTGCCTTGGCGGCTGCCTGCCAAGCTGCTTTTGAGGCTGCCATTGCCAAGGGCACTGCCGCCGTTGAGGTTTCCGTTTGCCTTGTCTTCGGAGTCTCCTGGGATGGTTAGCGGGATGGGCACCCTGGGCGCATCCTTGGGCATCACTAGTTCCTGACTAGACACCAGGATGCCGTCTGCAGGCAGGGATGGCGAGGCAGGCTACTGGGGGCACACCCCCTAACACCACCAGTCGATGCACACCTGCTGCGTGTGGCACTCTGCTGGATCCCACCACCCCCCCGACACACAGATCCCTGCTCCATGTAAGCCGTGGAGCACCAGGGCTGCCTTCTCACCCTCATCCGCATCTGCAATGAACAGCACAAACACGAGTAGTGTTTGAGTAGTGCCTCGGGAGAAGTGGCTGGCTGGGCTGCATCGCCCCGCCTCTGTCACGCCGTCGCTCGCAACATCGCCGTGATTGAAGTAACTGCTGGTCACCAACCGCCCAAATACATAAAAACTCATAATAACTCACACAGCCAGTCTCCTGGGTTGATGACGAAGCCCCCGACGGTGACGGGCACATCTCGCTGCCCCACATCCGCCTTGCCGGGCTTCAGCGGGTGGGAGTCTAATGCCATGATGCCGATGAGGAAGCTGCAGGGCACAACACGCCGGAAGGAGCAACAGGATGCGGCGTCAGCATAAGGCCTAGCCAGCACACCAACAGCCCCCTGGACGTACACCTGATGCACACCAGGCAAAGCGTGCATTGCCTGCTGTAGGCGGTATGCCTCACTTGCGGATCTCGCTCGCGTCCCGCACGCAGCCATTCACCACGATGCCTGACCAGCCTGCAGGCAGGGGATTGGAGGGGAAGCCACGACATGTGGCGGCGGCATGTCAGCAGGCTGGTTCGCAGACGCCACATCATGCACTTGGCACTCCAGGCTCTTCCATGAAGGCAGCAGGAGCAAGGTGGTGGGGAGTCTGACCTTGCATATCTGCAGCAAACAACGGAAAATACATACAGTCTGTTTATTCTTCAGGGCAGCACTGGGCAACAGGCCGCCTCACTGGCCTCAGGGCGTCCGCTGCCAGGAGGCCGCAAGACAGCTTCAATGCACCAGCGGCATACAGTAGCATATCTGTCGCAGCACTCACAGGCGTGCTCAATCAGTCGGTCGCCCATGAGCGCACAGCGCATGCTGCTACCACCATCAATGACCAGCACGCGCCCCGAACCCTCCTCATTCAGCGTCTTGCGCACCTGCAGGGACCCCAGGTGGAGCAAGCAGCCGGGTCGCTGTCAAGAGCTAGCTGCTGGCCACCAGCCTAGACCAGGCAACCCACCAGAGGGTTAGAGTCGTTGCATTGAATCGTCGTGACACGCCCCTTGAACGACAACATGCCTCCATAGTGCCTGCACACCACAGCTGGTGGACAGTGGGTGGGGACTGTATGCCGCGTGGGCGGAGGCTGGCACGCTGAGCGCCACATGCACGGCGGCCGCACCTGAAGCCAGGATGCAAGATTTGTACGGTTGAGGGGCGCGTGGGGTCATCCACAGGGATGGCAAACATGTCTGCCAGGTCGCTGACGCTGCAGCGGCTGGCATCCATGCCTGCAGCGGGGTATGGCGGGCAGCGGGGCGGCGGCGCTTCCCACTGCATGTAAGTTTAGGAGGCGGGCACCCGCTGCGCCCAGCTGATTCGCTCCGCGTCTCGCCTGTGGGCCAGCTGGTCAGGTTGGCGGAGGGAGGGATCGCGCCCTCGAACCTTTGTGAGACCTTTATCTGCATGTTGCAGGACCCCTCAGTCCACTTGCACAACGACGAGGAGATAGTTGGAGACGTGCAAGAAGAAGAAGAAGATGTGACCAAACACGGATGACTCAGGGGGAGAAACGGTGGCAGCGACTTTCCTAAAGGAAATCCAGGGGTGCGATGACGCGTGCCAGGTGGCGGAACGCCTACGCGATGACGCACGGTGCGTCCTCGCAAACGGTTATCTGGTTCAAGATTTCCGGGGCGAGTTGGGCGAAGCGCCGGGGCGCGCTCCAGGGCCTCCTGGCAACACTTCTCAACTATAACTGCCTGCCTGCACCGCCGCGCGGCCCTCCGCGGGCCTGGGCCAGCTCGCACTAAACTAGGGAACGTCACAGGAGCCCCGCGCCCTCCCGGGCGCCCTTCCACAGGTACCTGCCTGGCTGTTAACAACTCCTGCTGGCTGTTGACAGCGCCTGTGCTTGCACATGGGCTCTGGCAGGCCTGTGATCCTCTGGCGGGCCTGTGATCCTCCGCCTTGCTTCTACACCGCCCCACGCCCCCCCTGGCCGCGCAAGAGGACCTGCGCGCTAGTGCGGCGGTGCTGGGCCGGCGGCGCCCGTCCAGCATGGAGGCCGCGCGGCAGCGCATGGCCGAAATGAGCCAGTGGCAGGCCGCTGCACGGCGCGGCATAGCAGCAGCCCGCGACCACACGTGGACGGTTGCAGAGGAGTGCGGCCGCCACGAGGAGACAGCCAGCGAGGAGCTGCTCATGCAGCTGGCTGAGGTGGCAGTTGGGGATGCCGCTGCTGCAGCGGCGCCGATGCCAGCAGCAGCGCCGGCGCCGGCAGCGCAGCCGGCACCATCAGCAGCGCAGCCGGCACCATCGGCAGCGGCAGCTGCGTTGCTGGAAGCAGACGCGTCTGTGCTGGCAGCCAGTGAGGATGGGCAGGTGACCGTGCCCCTCTCGCTGCTGCGGCAGCTGGTGCAGCAGCAGCAGCAGCAGCTGGCGCAGCAGCATGAACTGACCACTGCCGTCCATCTGCTCTCCTCGGAAGTCAGCTTGCACGGCCCCCCAAGCCGCCGCCGTACTATTGTAGCGGCCGCTGCCGACCCAAGCGTGAGCCTGGACGCCACCACAGTTGGTGTGTTTGAGCTCGGCTATGCCCCTGCCGCGGGCTCTGCCGCCGCCCCCAGCGCAGCAGCACCAGCAGCAGACAGCTCAGCAGAGGGTGGTTGGCGGAGCCGCTGGCATGGCGTCCCCTGCAACATCCCCAGCAGCCTGTCCGCCTTGCTCAACACCGAGTGGGTGAGTGAACTGGGTTGTGTGCATGTGTAGTCGCATTATAGTCGCACGTGCTTACCTGCGCCCACGGTTGCCCCCTGACTGTGGCATGTCCCCTTGTGTGCTGCCCAGCCCCTGTGCGCCCACGGTTGCCCCCTGACTGTGGCCTGTCCCCTTGTGTGCGATCCAAGCACCCACCGCCCGTGCCCCACTACAACTACTCTGTGCGGCGCAGGCTGCGCGGCACTACTACGAGGGCGTGCAAGGCCCGGCGTGGAAGGACCGGGAGGACGAGCAGCGGGAGGCACAGCGGCTGGGCCGGCTGCCCACCCGGCACACCTGGCGCCCAGGCGCGGCGGTGCGCAAGATCTGGCACCTGGTCGTCAACGCAATGGCACTGGTGGAGGAGCTGGCACGCCAGGAGGGCTGCTCAAACATGGATGCTGCCAGGCTGGTGGACCAGCGCCTGGCGCAGCAGGTGGGAACCTGGGGGTTCGGGGGGTGCGCCATGGGCGCAGGAGTGACAGCAACAGGCGGCGGCAGCGGCGGTGGCGGCGGTAGGGGCCTGAGAGGGCTCCAACACTCCAATTGGTTGCTCGTGTTCACCGTTGCAATGCCCTACCATGCGCGCAGGAGGGCAAGAAGAAGAAGAACTTTGCCAGCCTGGGCCGCAAGGAGAACGAGGCGGCGGTGCGCGAGCTGCTGGGGCTTCCCGCAAAGCCCGCGCCCAATGGCTGACCGTGTGCCTGATTACACCATTCACAGTTGCCACCAATCTCAGTTGTGGCCCCGGGGCTCCCGCTCCCACTGCTTCCTACCCCCAGTGCTCCCTTCAGCTCCTGCTCCCACTGCTTCCTGCTCCCCTGCTCCCACTGCTGCCTGCTGCCTGCCCCCACTGCTCCCTTCAGCTCCTGCTCCCACTGCTTCCAACATTGATGCAATTGTAGTCCTGCTACAGCATGCAAATGAGACAGCACAGAGAAACTCACGAGGAGATGTGGCACGGTAAGGCAGCACACAGGGAAGGGAGGGGGAGGGGAGCAGACAGATCAGGGTGAGGCGGCCGGGGTAATCAAGTCAATAGGACCCTCATCATCCGCATCGCTGCTAAAGAAGCTATCGCCATCATCCCCATCCTGCTCCTGCTGCTGCTGCTGCTGCTGCTGCTGCTGCTGCTGCTGCTGCCGCACGTAGGCAGCGTGCATCGCCGCGGACTCCTCCCAGCCAGGGGGTGGGGGAGGGGGGTCAACCAGGGCACGGGGAGGAAGCACGTGTGCACCAAACCTGCAGGCTCAGGGATGGGAGGCAGGGGGAGGGTGAGGTTTGTGGGAGGGGGCTGCAGGAGGGGGCACAATCACCAGCAGCATGCATGCGCAGGAGTGTGCAAATACCACGGTGGCCACATGCTCACTCTGCAGCTGCAATGACCTGCTCCAGGCCCTCGTACACGCAGAGGTGGGGCAACAGCTGCAGCAGCCGTTGCACCACCGCAGCCACTGCATCCTGCTGGTCGGCGCCGCCAAAGCCCTGCCATGTGTACGGGTGGGCGTCCCCCAGCAGCACAATGCAGTGGTTGTGGCTGGGGGGAATGCCACTCTCGATGAGCCGCAGGAGGGTTTGCACAGTGGCCACAAGGCAGGTGGGCCTGCTGCTGCACACAAGCCACAGCTTGCTGCAACGCCGCTGGCATGTGGGCGTAGGGCGGCGGGAAGGGAGGGTCGAGGGGAGCTGGAGGCCCAGCCTCCCCAGCCTCCCCAGCCTCCTCCACAGCAGGCTGCTGCTGAGGCCTGCAGCTAGGTAGGGGTGGATGGAGGGTGGGCATGGCAAGCAGGTGAGAACAGCAGCTGTAACGCAGGCAGGGATTGAGCAGCTGCATCCGCTAGCACGGATGCGCCAGCACGCATGCGCATGCTTCAAAGTGTTGGGCCTCGGCAGGGCAGCCTAGGGCTAAGGGCCACACATTCACAGCTGCCTGCTGCTGCTGCCTATGAAGCTCACCCGTCGGGAGCGCCGCGGGCGGCAGGGCCCTCAATCAGGCCCCCAGCGCCGCGCATTCTGACACCGCCACGCCCCCGGGGCAAGATGCCATGCCTGCAGGCAGGGTTGCAGGGTGGGACGAGTGGGGATCACACGCTGGGGGCATTGTGGGAAACCCCCGATGGGGCCCGAAAACACGAAACAAGAACGCCACGGTGTACAACGGCCCACTGTACGGGGGGGCGCGCGCTCCCACAGCCACAGCGGGCCCCTCTCCCGCAGACCCACCCCCGCAGCACCCCGCGCGCGCGCCCAGCTTTTCAAGAAGCCCCCCCGGGGGGGGGCGCCCGGAAAAAGGGCCGGCGAGAGCTGACCGACAGCGTGGCAGGCAGGGAGCTGCGCGATTGGGAGATTGGGCACCCATCCCGCGCTGCAAGCCCCCCCCGGCGCCGGCCCGCACCTCTATAGAAGCCAGTGAGCGCGCCGGCGAGCCGCAGGCGCGGGGGCGGGGAATGGGAATTGCCCTCGCTCGCCGGGCCGCCCGCACACGCGGAACGCCGCGGAACGCGCGTCCCAGCGGCCCAGAGGGGCTCCAGGAGGCGGCGGGGGGCGCTTGCAGGGCGAGGGGGGGCCGACAGCGGGGCGTCCCCCGACCCCAGTTTCCTTCCCAGAGGAAGCCTGCCGCCACTCCCTCCCCACAGGAGGCTGTCAGGCTGGATCCGGAGGGTTCTGAGCTGTCGGCGGCGCCTGTGCATACAGTGATCGTCGTGATGTGCGAATCTGCACGTTGTAAGCGAGGGCACTACGCACAAGGCGGCGAACCGCAGTCGCTGCCTGGCGGGGCGCAACGCCGCACCGCTCGAGAGCAGCGCGCGCTGTGGAAGTGACCAGGCCCGAGTGGGACACGGCGACAGGGAAGCAGGTGACCTGCCACCCCTGTTGAACCAGGTAATGCATCCAAGAGCTGTGTTGCTCCAGCTTGTCAGCCACTGCCGCCGAAAGGCGGGTGTCGGCGGCATGCGTGACCTCCATGCAGACGAGAACACGCTCCTCAGGGGTGAGCTGGCTGAGAGAGATGGTGTGGGCTCGGTTGGGCTCCATAGCAGGGAGGAATATAATGTCCGGGGTGGCATGGCGCTGGGTGTCGGGGGAGAAAGTCTGGCAGGTTGCGAGCGGTGCGGTCGCCCAGCTCACTGTCGTGATACAGCAAGCGGTCGCCCAGGCCACCAGCAGCAATGGTTCACCGTCAGCCAGGCACTTGACTGAAGCGCCATGGCGCTTGCACCTGAGGCCGTGAATAACTGGGTGGGCGCAGGCCCCAAAGCAGTGCGGGATCGTTTCCGGCGGCCTATCCTGGCACAGGCCACATGTGGGGTCGGGATGTTTGGTTGGGTACAGGCGGTGGGCGCGCGCCCGGGTGAAGAGCTGGCCCCACCGCAAGCGCGTTGGCGCTGCCAACTCCCTTAACATGCGCCGTCGCCCTGCTGGCGCGACGAGCAGCTGCCGCTCATTCCCCTGCCAGAGGAAAGCCGATTGTAATGCCCACTGCAGTGCACTGGCTCAAGCTAACCCTGCCACCAAGGGCAAGAGGGCATTACATTCATCCATGGGCCAGCGCGGCATCGCTTCCAGGGGGCAACAAGGCGGCACATGCCGTCCTGCCCACATGTGTGTGCCGCTGCCAGATCATGCGGATGCAGCGGGCGCTGCCGCCAGCACCTGAGCCAGCTCGGGGGTCTTGGCCACCTGCGCTGGGGTCCTGCCCTCGGCATTGAGCACCCCCAGCGCGGCGGGCGCCCGCTGCGCCAGGCAGGCGCACACCTCTGCCTTGCCGTTGATGGCGCCAAGGTGCAGGGCAGTGGCGCCCTGGCTGTTGCGTGCCGCCGCATCCGCCCCCGCATCCAGCAGCGCCTGCACCGCCGCCAGCTTGTTGGTTCGCACAGCCAGCATCAGCGGCGTCCACCCCGCCTCGTCCGCCGCATTCACGTCAGCGCCTTTGCGCAGCAGCAGGCGCAGCAGCTGCAGCATGCCGCGGTTGGCGGCCTGGTGCAGTGGCGACGCAAAGTCCTTGCTGGCCAGGTTGACGTCCGCGCCGTGGTCAATCAGCAACTCACACATCTCATCATCCTGCGCCGCCCCGCCAGCAGCAGCAGCAGGCGACTGAGCGGCGGCGGCACAGCGGGGGCACGGGCCACAGCCTGTGTGGGGCGGGCCACACTCTTGAGGACAATGCCAAGGCTTGCCTGCATCTCCAGCGCATGGTGCAGCGGCGTCTTGCCATCAAAGTCTTTACAGCTGATGTCCGCGCCAGCCCTGCACGTGGGGCACGGCACATGCAAGCCGTTTAAGGACAGCTGTCAGCTCGGAGCCGACAGCTGTCGGGGGGCTACCCGGCAGCAGCAGGCAAGACCAACCCCAAACTCACTTGAGCAGCATCCCCGCCATGTCAACATCCCCACCCTCTGCCGCCACATGCAGCGGCGTCTGGTGCAGAGGCTGCAGCTGCTGCCCGCCGCTGCAAATGAAGGTGGGCAGCATCAGGCGGCACGGCCCGCACTGGGCTTCAGCGCACAGGGAGGGGCGCTGAGTGCAGGCCGGGGAACCCAACGCAGAGGGCTAGCGCGAGCAGCTTCAGCCATGAGCAAGCGGCGCCAGCAACCCGCACAGCTCACCTCAACCAGTTGCCTGATGCATACTCGCTCTTGTTGAAGTTGCGAGTGTTTAGGTTGGCCTTCTGCCTGCATCCAGGGCACGAAGGAATGGCAGGGGGGTTTGCAAAGTGCACGGTGGGTGCCTTTGGTCCCGGCGCGAGCGAGCCGTCACATCCGGGCTTCCTCAAACATGATGAATGCGCACCTGAGCAGCAGCGTCACGACAGCCGCATGCCCTTCCCGTACCGCATGGTGCAGCGCGCTGTTGCCCTGCAGGACAGGCAGGAGCAGCACAGGTGTAAGGGTGCAGCCACGGGGTGGCGCCCATACCCTGCCCCCCCTGCCGCCTTGGCTTCCCCGCCACGGCAGCGACTTCTCGGTGCTCTGCATGCAACACTATCTGCAGCTGCCTGGGCGCAGCACCACTCACATCCCAGTCCTGCATGTCCACAAAGCTGCCCTTCTGCAGCAGGAAGCTGACGGCGCCGATGTGGCCGCCTGCCGCCGCCAAATGCAGCGGCGCCGCGCCCTGCGCGTTGAACACGTCTGTGTCGTGGTCTGGGTCCTGCAGGAACAGCTGGCGCAGCCCCGCCACATCACCCGAGGCGGAGCAGGTGAAGATGCGAGGGTCGGGGCCATCCAGCAGCTCCCTGCACGCATGGGGCGAGGTGGGGAGGGCGTCACGTGCGCTACGTGAGCGTGCGTGGTATGAGAAAGGACGGAGGGGTCACGCCCGATTGGCCAGGTGGAGTCGCCAGCCCACGACAGCTGGCGCCCAGGGCATGCTGTGTGGCACGTGTGTGCGCGCGCTGCAGCTGCCCCGCCTGCACCTGATTCCGTCCTCCTCGGCTAGCTCATAAGGCAGCCGCCCCTGCAGGTCTGACAGCCCTGTGTCGGCCCCTGCATCCAGAAGCAGCTCGCAGATCCTGCGCCAGGCCAGGGCCAAGCAAGGCTGATAGAGTGAAGCAAGGCAGGGGTGAATCAGTGGCGTATCAGCACAGGCGCAGCAGCGTGGGGTGGGAGCCGCCCGGCCGACATCGGCAGCGCCTCACTCGCGTGTGCGGCTCTTGGCAGCAGCGGCAAAGTGCAGCGGCGTGGTGCCGCGGCTGTTCTCCACATTTACGTCCGCCCCCAGATCCAGCAGCTCGCGGGCAGCCTCCACAGAGCCCCTGCGCGAAGGGAAATATGCTGTCGGCTGGAGCAACAGGCAGATGCAGCGCCGACATCCTCCTTCCAACAGGCTGTGCAGCCGGTGGAAAAGGTGCAGTGTGTGCTTACCACAGCGCCGCCACATGAAGCGCGGTCTGGCCGATCTGCACAGGGATGGGATACACAGACACGTGTTTCGGCGGTTGTTGGAGGCCGCAGGGACTTCTCCCACCGCTGGTACAGCCAGGCAGGGTGCAGAGGACCTCGCACTGCCCTTTCCATCCCTCGCCCGATTGCAGAAAACCTCCCACTCTTTCCCACCTGGTTGCAGAAGCTCACTGGCAGGCCTGCATGGGCACGTGGAGCAGAGGGAGCTTGGTGGCGGGCCAGCAGAGTTGGGGAGCGGGCGGGCAGGAGGCAAGGCGCCACCGCACACCAACCTGCTTCCACTAGCGTGCGGATGGTTTCTGGCTTGTTGTTTCTGGCGGCCTGGAGAATGCTCTCAGGGGTGAAGCCCAGGCGCTGTGCAGCCATCTTTGCGTTGAGGACGGGCGGAGGAGGTGCGAGGGTGAGAGCGGCGGCGGGCAGCCGGGCGGCGCCTGGCGGGGAATTGGGAGGGGCGCACCGGCGATCCACAATACCAAGAGTGCTGGGTAGGGTGTGGCCAGCTCCGGGGGCTGTGTGGTTGCACCTACCAAAACGCAATGTGCAGAATGTGCGGATCAGGGCTTTGAAGGCGTGCGCCAGATGGATCACACTAGGTGGATCAGTGTGGAGCCATCAGAACGGCAGGAAGGTGGGTGCGAGGCAATGAAAGCTGAGCTGGCGGGTTCCATATGTTCCATATTCTGCTGTTGCGCTCCCAGGCCATGCGTTTACATCTCCCTTGCGTTTAACAACATCTCACATCAAGGGTGTTGCTGAAGCTGTCGCTGTATGACCGCCGGCCAGGCGCGAGCTTTGTACAGGCAGCTGTTTCGTAAGACCAGAGACCTCCCCAGGTGCGCCGCTGCCAATGCACGACCTCGAGAGCGTGCCAGGAGCCGGCGCTTGATCATTGTCGACAACTGGCAGCTGTGTTCGCCTCTAACTCTCCAGGCACAAAGCCCTTGCAAAGGAATGCTCTCCCTGTGCGCGGACGGGGGCCGTGCGCCCGACAGCAGGCCAGGGAGAGCCCCCGCCAATCCCGCCGCTACCTTGCCGCCGACCGGGTTGACCGCCGCAGGCAGGCCCAGCACTACTACCGCAACTCCATCCGCTCTGGGTTTGTGGCGCACTCTGACGAGGACGACCCGGAAGTGCTGCAGCGCATCTACGAGCAGTCTCTGAGGGATGCCGACTGGATACTAGACAAGGTGCATGAGCTCTCGTGTCGCCCGCCTGTCTTCCACACTGCAAGAGGTGCCGCCTGCCGCCTCTCCGGCTGGTCACTAAACTTCGTGACCGTCCCATTGTCCTGTGCAGTACAAGTCGCAGCAGCCGCAGCACAAGTAGACTAGCCTTGCACTCGGCAGCCCTGCAGCTTTGCACGTCCAACCCGTGTCGAGGCCTGTAAACCAGGCATAGCCCCAGCTCCTGCACCCGACAGCCTGCCGCAATGGTGACGACACGGCGGCAGGAGGCGCTGCAAATGATGAACACGCCGCCGTCGGGGTGGGAGCAGACGGAGGGCGAGCCCTCGCCTTCCACACCCGTCGACGCCGCGCTGCCCAGCCGCCTGCCGCTCAAGTCGGCGCTCAAGACGCGGCTGCTGCCGGGGGACGGGCGTCACGGGGAGGAGTGCACCCCCGTGGATGCGGGGCTGAAGAAGACGGTGCGCATCCACAGCAGCAACAACATGGTGCACGAGTTCCAGGCCAGCCTGACCACAGACGATGCGCACGCCTACAGCGACGATGAGGGTGGCGCGACCCCCGAGAGCGGGCGGCGGCGCCGCCCGCCGCCGCGCCGCCGCCCCGCCACACCCCGCTACGACAAGTTCATGTCGGGCGTGCTGGCGGGCATGCGCAGCAGCGGCGGCGGCAGCAACGGCGGCAGCACGGGCGGCGGCGCCGCGGACGGCGGCGCGCTGCTTGGCCTGCTGTTCACGCTGAGCTGGATGCTGGCCAGCTCAGCGCTCATCTTTGTGAACAAGACGCTCATGGTGGACCACGGCTTCCGCTTCCCGTTTGCCCTCACCTCCATGGGCCAGATGAGCTCCATGCTGCTGGGTGAGCGGCGCTGGCGGCGCTGCCGGGCTGCTGTAGCCGCAGGGGGTGGAGCCGCCGAGGCTGCTTCCTGTGTTGGCCGGTGCATGAGGCATGGCAAGGTGCAGCCCCAGAGAGGCAGGCTGGGGGCCCAAATGGGGCGAGCTGCATCCTGAGCTGCCCGCTGCCGCCCCCCTGCCTGTAGCCTGGCTGGCGTCGGTGGTGGGCGTAGCGCCGCTGCGGCCGGCGCCCTCCTGGGAGGTCGCCTTCTCCAAGCTGCTGCCCGTGTCCTTCAGCTTTGCCGCCTCACTGTTCCTGGGCAACGTGGCGTACCTGGGCATGTCGGGTGAGCATGCGGCACGGCATGCTGGTGTCAGCTGCCAGCCGGCCAGCGCGGCACGGCATGCTGGCGTCAGCAGCCAGACAGCCAGCGCGGCACGGCATGCTGGCGGGCTCAGGCGCACCCTGGCCAGATCAGCGCTCAGTCGGCCCCCGCTCACTGTGCGCCCGCCTCGCTGCTGTGTGCCCGCAGTGGCCTTCATCAACATCATGAAGGCAGCCACCCCCATGGTCACGCTGGCGGTGGGGCTGGCGCTGCGCCTGGAGCGCACCTCCAAGCTGACGCTGGCCGCCACCGTGCTGATTGCCGTCGGCACCGCCATCTCCACCTCCTCAGAGGCCAGCTCGGGTGAGGGGGCTGCAAGGGAACCCAGGGCCCAGAATGCATGCTGCCCTCCTGGGCTGGAAGCCCGCCGAGGTGTAAGAAAGGCAAGCTCGTCGCTCACCCAGTGCGCCTGCCCGGCTTCGCCTGCAGGCCACTTCCGCTGGCTGTCCTTCTTTGCCTTTGCCTTGAGCGTCGTGTTTGAGGGCATCCGGGTGGTGCTGACCGAGAAGCTGCTGGGGCAGGTGCGCCTCCCGCTGCACTGCAGCACCCCGCCACAATGTGCTTGATGGCTTGGACCATGCCTGCCGACAGCTGGGGCCTGAGCGGTCGTTGTCTGTGGTGTGGCAACCTGTACATTCAGCCTGCCTGCCTGGCTGCCTGCCTGCCTGCGTGTGTGCAGGCCAAGTACAATGTGATGGAGGCTCTGGTGTACCTGGGCCCCTTCACGCTGGCCTTCCTGGGAGGCGGCGCATACCTGTTTGAGTGGGACCAGGGCCTGTCGACAGAGGTGGGGTGGCGAGCGCCTCTTGTTGGGATGCGGAATGCAGCGGCAGGCTCCCAAGTGCGAGTCCAAGGCCACTTCTGACTTGGCTGCGTCCAAGGCAACCAGCTGACGTGCCGGCCTGGTGCCCTGCCATTGCTGCCTGCTGCCGCAGGGCATGCGAGTGATGCGGGAGCGGCCGTTTGACTTTGCGGTGGCGACCCTGATCAGCTTCCAGGTCAACCTCTTCTGCTACCTGGCCATCAAATACGTCTCCGCCACCTCATTCAAGGTGGCAGGCTGCCTGAAGAATGTGCTGGTGGTGTGGGGCGGCGTCCTGCAGGGGGATGTGGTCACGCCGCAGGAGCTGCAGGCAAGTGTGCTGGTTGGCATGGGTCCAGCCCGGCTGCCGTGGACAAGGCCAGGCTGCCAGCGCTGTGCTGCCCGCCCAGTCATGCACCAGCATGCCCTCATGCCCGGCCTCGATGAGCTGATCCCGCGGCTGGTACCTGCGCCGCAGGGGTATGCCGTTTCGTTGGTAGGGTTTGTGCTGTTCTCAGCCTCCAAGCTGCGCGGCACCGTGCCGGGGGCGGGGCAGACGGGCGACAGCCAATCACCCGCAAAGAAGCAGCGATAGGCCACGGGAGTGGCCAATCAGCATGCTTGTTGTTGTATTTTGTTAAATATTTGTCTCGCATTGCTGATATTGGATTGAATGCGCCACCTCGCGACGGGCTGGGGCAGCGCCGAAAGTCGATGCGGCGTCCAGCGGGGAAGCTCCTCCTGCCGCGGAGCAAAGACTGCAGAGGCACACCAGCTGGTTGGGAGCGCGTGAGCATGCAGAATGAGACAGCTGGGCGGGAGGGTGCATGGCAGGGGCGAGGGAAAGGAGGTGCATGAGCGGGCCCTGCTGCGTCTGCTGCCCCGCCGCCGCCATGTCACACATGACCGAGACCAGCACTCCCTATCCCCCACTCCACGCACTCGTGACTTCTATCCAGGCCGGCCGCCGTCTCTGCAAGCCGCCGTCTCACATCACCAGCCCTTCCGCGGTCGCAAGCCCAACCTCCTTCGGCGTGAACCTGCGTGCCAGAGGGGTGCACTGATGCACCCTGCCGCCTGAGGCGGCACAAACGCTCGCAGAGGGTCGCCAGACCGAGTACCACCCAGGGCCCCCCAGCAGCGTACCTGGTTGCCGTGATGGCTACGCTAGTGCGCAGCCTGGTGGGCGGCAACCAGGGCCAGCAGGATGGCGACGGCAAGCTGCTGGAGCTGGCAGACCAGCGGGACGATCAGCCCACGCCCAGCTCTCAGCAGGAGCAGGAGGAGGCCCAGGAGATGCAGGAGGACGACGGGCTAGCCAGCGTGATCACGCAGGTGTCGTCGCGGGACCAGCAGAAGGCAGCCCCCCCGCCCGCCGCGCAGTATGCGGTGCAGCCCGCAGACGACGGCAGCGGGGAGGTGCGGAGCACTTGGAAAAACAAGTTTAGGTGCGCAGGCCTCAAGGGAGGCTGTGGTCGCTGCAGTGGCTGCAGCAGAACGTGGTCAGGGCAGTCTGGTTGTGTGCAACAGCATGCAACGGCCCCGCCTCCTGGTGCCCGTCACCCCAGCACCCAACCTGCCCGGTCCTGCTGTGCCGTTGCCCCACCGCAGAAGCATCTTCTGCTGCCTGGCGCCCTCCTCCAACGAGCAGTACGTGCGGCAGGACGAGGGGCCGGTGGTGATACGCCCCATAGCGCCGCAGCCGCCCAGCTGGACGGAGCCGGTGCTCGGGCCGCAGCTGGCGCAGGATTCGGGGAAGAAGACTCTGGTTCTGGACCTGGGTGCGTGTGTGGCTGGGTGTGCGGCGGGGTGTGGCGGGCCGCTGGGCCGGGCGCTGTGTGCGTGCGTTGGAGCAGGGGAGCCGCGTGCAGCCTGCCGCGCTGCCTGACCCTCCCTCCCTCCCTCCCTTTCCTCTGTCCCCGCCTGCAGACGAGACGCTGGTGCACTCCTCCTTCAAGCCGGTGCCGCAGCCCGACTACATCATACCGGTGGAGATCGAGGGGCGCATCGTGGATGTGTATGTGCTCAAGCGGCCCTTTGTCGACCACTTCATGCGGGCGGTGGGCTCGCGCTTCGAGGTGGGGCCGCGCCCGGCGCACAGCGCTACGCCGGGAGCAGCAGCGGGGGTGCTGCCGGGCGGCATGGGTGCACCACGCAGTCGGCGCCCGCACCGGCAGCCTGCACCGCCGGAGCTCTCCTGCACCGCCGCCACTGCCCTCCGCTGCGCTCCCACCCACCTGCCCGCCCGCCCCTTCCTGCCCGCCACCCCCCTTGCCGCAGGTGGTTGTGTTCACGGCCAGCCTGGGCAAGTATGCCGACCCGCTGCTGGACCTGCTGGACAAGGCCAATGTGGTGCGGTGGCGCCTCTTCCGGGAGGCCTGCTACCCGTATGAGGGCTCCTACGTCAAGGTGGGGACGGGGGCCGCGGGCGGGGCCCCTGCCTGGCACCTGGACCTGCCCCGCACGCCGGGCAGGCCAGGCCAGGCCGGCCGGAATTGGCCAGCAAGCACGAGCAGCCAGGCGCCGCCGCGCGTGCCACCGGCCTGCCAGGCACGCGTCACCCCGCCGCTGCGCTTGCTGAGCCCGGTGCACGTGTGCCTGCCCTCCCCTGGCCCCTCCCTCCCTTCGGCGCCGCAGGACCTTCAGTGCCTGGGCCGCGACCTGGGCCAGACCATCATCGTGGACAACTCCCCCCACTCGTACATGTTCCAGCCCGAGAACGCGCTGCCCATCGGCACATTCATCGACGACATGCAGGACCAGGTGGGGCGGGGGTAGGGTGTGGGGGGTGTGGCGTGGGGGGTGGGGTGGGCGTGGGGGTGGCGGGGCCTGGTGGGGGACCAGGGCGGAGGCCTGAGGGGCCAGGGCTGGGGCTTCACTGGCCACTGCTTCCTGACCAGGCTACAGGCGCGGGCCCGTGTGCGGTCACTGCTCCTTGACACCCGGCGCTGGCACTCACCTTGCGCCCTGCCTGCCCGCCCGCCCCCCCTGTGGCCGCAGGAGCTGCTGGACTGCCTGGACCTGCTGCTGGCGGTGGAGAAGGTGGAGGATGTGCGCGCGCACCTGGGCCCCATCCTGGCCCGCAAGCAGGCGGGCCTGCTGGCCTCCTTCACCCAGGTAGACAGCGGTGAGAACCGGTGTGGGGCGCGCCACGCCGCCTGGCCGCCACCCACACAGCCGTGGGGATGCAGCAGGGGCGCCTTCGCACACACATGCTGGCTGGGGAGGCCTGGTTGGTCTGTGCCAGCCGAGCATCGCATCTGATGCGTGCCCCCCTGCTGCTGCTGCAGGCGGTGGGGAGCTTGGCGGGGTCGCTGACGACCCTGGCGCGCCCAGCGAGTCTGAACGAGAGCAGCTAGCAATGTACGGCGCCCCTTAGTTCGGAAGCAGCACCCGACTGCGCTGCCCGCCATCCCACGGCAGCCGGGGCTGCTGGCAGGCGCATGCAGCCAGGCCCTGTCGCCCTTGGCACCAACGCTGCACACTGCGCTGCGGCTTGGCAGTTGCGCGCGCCCCACCCCGACATCTGAGCAATGAACGCACCCCGCCGCCGACGGTATCTCTTTCCTGCCCTCCTGCTGCCCCTGCTTTGGACGCTGCGCTCCTGGGCAGCCTGGCAGCCTCTCACCTTTGTTGCAGCCAGTACTGTTCTTCTTCTCCTGACTACGCTGCCCCGTCCCCGCTACATGGCTCCCCCCTCGCCTGCCCATGCGGCCGCCCGCCCCGTGGGGCGCGCCGCTCTGTCTTCCTGTTCTTCTCAGGCACTGATCTTGCCTTCTGACTCTCCGCGGTTCTGCCACACTTGAGATCCTGCTTCACGCGATGTGTAAACAGTTACTCCGAGAAACACGCGCCATGCACCAGCAGCAGCCAGCCTGGGCGCCACCGCAGGGCGAGCTGCCCCCTCACGCTTCCATCCCCTCCTCCTCCTGCTGCTGCGCCTCCTCCGCGCCGCCACCGCCCGCTTGCTGGCTGCGCCCCGCGGTGGTCAGGTACTGCAGGCTGTACATGTTTGCCTCGCACGTGGTGGCCAGGTCCTCGTGGAGCCGCGCCACCGCCTTTTGCAGCGACCGCAGCGCGGGCAGCGCGCCGCTGCCGCCGCCGGCCTGGATGGCGGCGCCGTGCCGCACGCACAGCGCCTTGGCCCAGCCCAGCAGGTACTCGATGTGCGGCGTGTGCGGCAGCAGCTCCCCCAGCGCGCCCAGCAGGCGCGGCACCACCGCCGCCGGCAGCTGGTTGGCCAGCAGCGGCACCTGGGGCGGCGGCGTGCTGCACGGCACACGGGGCAGCGGACAGCAGCAAGCAGCAGGTGATGAGTCAACGTGTGCATGCCCCAGGGGCACACCAGTGCGTTACATCCAGCTGCCCGCAGACTGCTGGCAGGCGAGCTGCGCCGTGCAGCACTCGGCAGCCGGGCCAGGCCCTAGCGCCCCACCTGAGCACCATATGCTGCACCAGCTGCGGGTCGTTCAGGCGCAGAGCCATCAGCAGCGCCTTGAGGTGCGCGCCCTGCAGGCAGGCGCAGGCGCAGCGCAGGGTTTGAGGGCGACAGCGACGGGCCGGCCACTGGCAGTCCCCTGGCAGTGGCAGCGCCGACACGAGGTATGCACGTGCCGGGGGCCCTGCCCCGCGCCGCCCGCCGCACCCGGCCCAGTGCCTTGAGCGTGGCTGCGGGCGTGACGTCCTCAGCCAGGTCTGTTGGGTCGAACACTAGGCTCTCATCCAGGCTGCAGAAGGGCGCAGGAAAGAGGAGGGGGTGGGGTGGGAGGCGCAGCACGGCGCTGGGCTGGATGGCGGGGCACGCACTGCTGGGCAGATCAGGTGCGCAGCCGGCTGGCCACGCGTGCGGCGAGGGAGGCCGGGGAGGTGTGGGGGGAGGGGCGCACCTGTAGAGCAGCAGGCCCTCTGTGGTGGCCGCCGCCCAGCTGCGCCCGGTGGGCGACAGCGAGACGTGGCGGGTGCGGATGACGGGGGCGCGCTTGCCGCCTGCGCACGCAGCACGAGCCAGGCAGCAGGGCGCCGGGGCGCCAGGGGCCAGTCAGCTTGGGCCGGTGCTGGCATCAGCAGCTGCACGGCTCCCCCACAGGGCAGCCCAGAGGCCCTTGGCAGCCAGCAGCTGGCCCCCCACACGCTGCCCGCACCTGTGCCCGGCAGGCCGCTCTCCCCGGCGGCGCCCCCCGACACCGTGGGCGGCAGCAGGTCGTCGTCGTCGCTGCCCTCGTCGGCAATCTGGTGCAGCGGCCCCGCATCAGTCAGGTTCCTGCGGGGAGCAAGAAACGCCAGCCAGCGAGGTGAGCAGGCAGGCAGCCGAGGCGGCCGCCAGATGGGCTGGCCGCCTGCCAGCCCCGCCTGCCAGCCGGTGCACAATGCACCCGCCCAGCGGGCCCCCCCGACCCTTTCCTCCTTCCACTGCATCATTACCACCGCTGCCAACCCAGCCCTGCGAGCGCTGCTCCCTGCCCTCACCTGGAGTTGAGCTGGTCGAGCACGCCATCCAGGCTCTTGTTGTGTGAGATCTGGAAGCGGCGCAGCATCACGCGCTCCGCCACATCGTACAAACACACATACCTGCAGGGATGGGTCGCAACAGGGGGCCGAGGTTTGACAGGCGGCTGGGGCGCAGGGTGGCTGAGGGCGGTTGCAGAGGCGGCGGCCGGTGGCGGCGCAGAGCCGCTGCCCCGCTCACTTGCTGCTGCCGCCTGCCAGCAGGAAGGAGCCGTCTGCGGAGAAGGCGAGGGAGGTGAAGCAGCGGCCGCTGCTGGTGTTGTCGGCGGTGCGGCGGTCGGAGCGCAGGCGGCCGCCCGCGATGTCGCGCCGCCCCGAGATGGTTCCCTGCACACAGGCAGGGTGTTGTGCACAGTCAGCATGGCAGCACACAGCTGCACAAGGCAAGGTGCAGGCGAGCGCGGCGGGGCTTGCTGGGCTTTCCTCCCCACCCTGGTACCGCCCTGGTACCTGCAGTACCGCCTCATGTGGGTCCCAGAAGTAGATCTGTCCGTCCAAGGTGGAGGAGGCCAGCTGCTTGCCGTCGGGGCGCCACGCCAGCGCCAGCACGTCATGCTGCAGCAGCGGGAGGGGAGCGGGCACGGGAGGCACGGCGTGAAGGGTGTGCGGCAGGGAGCAGCGGGCCCAAGCCGGCACAGGAAGCTGGGAGGCAAGTCGGCGCTGCCTGACCCTGAGCAGGCATAGCAGCCGCAGCAGGATGCCGCTAGGGCCGCAGCTGGGCAGTGGGAGAGCGGCAGGGGGGTGGCATGGCAGGGGCAGCCGCACCCCCACCTGATGCTGCAGTGCCTCCACAGCGCCCTTGCCGTTGAACACATCCCAGGTGCGCACCGTCCTGCGGCCACGAGGGACACACACAGCCACACCACACCGCCCGCATCAGATTGCCCGCCAGCGCATGGGTGGGGCATCCGGCCAGCACCCAGCGTGCTGAGCCTGCTGCGGGCTGCAGGCTGCGGCGCTGGCGCCCGCTCGGCTCACTTGTCCCAGGATGCGGAGGCCAGCAGGGGCGTCCCCGGGCAGAACTGCAGCGCCACCACGGGGCCCTCGTGCGCGGCCAGCACCTCCAGCAGGCGCCCGGTCTTGAGGGACCAGACAAAGACCTGGAAGGTGTCGCGGCTGCCCGCGCACACCACCTGTGGCGAACGAAACGGGCGGGGCTTGCGTGAGGTGGATGATGGCAGGGCAGAAGGCAGCAGGTGCCGGCGGGTAACTCTGATGGCCGGGCCACCAGCCAGCGGAGCCAGCCTGCGCATGCGCCACTCGACCCTCTCCGGGGCACGGCGACGCTCACCTCGCCGGCCGGGTCGCAGGCGAGGCTGACAAACTGGACGGGGGTGGGGGTGGTGAGGGTGCGGAAGTTGCGGTACCGCACCAGATCAAACGCCCGCACCGTGCCGTCCAGGCTGGCGCTCAGCACGGCGTGTCCGCTGCACAGCGCAAGAGGGCGAGGGGGTCGAGATGAAACAACAGGGGCTCGGTGGCAGCAGGTGGGCAGCCCGCCTTGGCAGGCAGCGAGAGCGGCGCAGCTGGACCCACCTGCCCAGGAACTGCACCGCGGTGACGGGCGCCTCGTGGTCTGAGAAGGTGACAAAGCAGAATCCGTTGGACAGCGTCCACACCTTGACCTGCGGCAAGAGCGGCGTTGTGAGCAGCCACGCTGGTGGCGCAGGCAGGCCCACAACCATGCGCACAGGTGCATGCCAAGCAACAGGGCAGGCTGCCACCCCATCACCTCACACACACGCATTCTCACAATCAGCCCTGCCCCACACCAAGCAGGCGCCGCCCCGCCCGCACCCGGCCCGCGCGCCACACACCTTGGCGTCATCGGCGGCGGTGGCGAGGTAGGTGCCGTCTGGTGAGTAGGCGGAGGCGGCGACGTCGTAGTAGTGGCCCTGCTGCTTCAGCACATACGTCTCGCTGCGCCACTCCCACACCAGCAGCTGGCCCAGCTTGGCGGAGCCCACCGCGATCCAGTCGCCGGCGGCGTTAAAGGCCAGAGAGCTCAGCTTCTCCCTGCGCCAGGCGGGCCAGGGCAGGGGGGAGGGCGGCGGCAGGCCGGCGTGGGGAGCGGCAGCGGCCGGGCCAGTGTGGGAGAGGAGAGGGCGCAGCGGGCCGTGCCGCACGGGCATATGCACACCCGGCAGTTGGGTGAGCGGCCCGTCCAGGCATTCCCCGCCCTGCTTTTCGCCCAGCACAAGCCCACCCTCTCCCAGCCCCACCTGCCGATGGAGAGGGTGTGGACGGTGGTGAGGTCTGGCAGCTGCAGCAGCTCAAAGATGCCGGAGGTGAAGCCCACGGCCAGCAGGCCCACCCCGCCCTGGAAGGCCGCCGCCGACAGCTTGGCGCCGCGCTGGTTGAAGTAGTACTTCTCAGTCAGCTTCCAGTGGCCCCCCGCAAAGGTGCCCGACTGCACCGGCGCCGCCGCTGCAGCCGCAGCCGCCGCCGCCGCCGAAGCTTGCTGGCCTGCCGCTGCCCCGCCCGCGGCCGCCTCCTCCTCCTCTGAGCCTCCGCCATCCTCAGACTCGCCGCTGCTGCCGCTACCGCCCTTCTCCTCCTCCTCGCTGCTGCTGCTGCTGCCACCGCTGTCTTCACCCTGCCCCGCCCCTAACCGCCGCCGCTTCTGGCCCCGCGCCCCGGTCGCTGCTGCCGCCGCCGCTGGCGCCGCCGCTGGCGCCGCCGCCTCGGGCTTGCGATACGTCCAGGCAAACAGCGCCCCATCTCGTGCCAGCGTGTAGAGGTGGGGGGCCTCCTTGCCAATCAGCCCCGCCGACTCCTGGAGCTTGGGTGAGGTGAAGTGCACTGCAGGCGGGCGTGCAGCAGGCGCAGGCGGCGGCTGAGGCAGGGGCAGCAGGGCCCGAGCCGCGCAGCCACGCGCAGCGCCAGCCTGCGGCCAAGCACCCACCTCGCCTGCGCCGCGCCCCACTGCCCGCCCCGGCGCCCCGCGGCCCGGCCCCACCTGCCACCAGCGGCTCCCGGTGCCCCGCCAGCGTGGGCGGGCGGTATCCCTCCAGAGGGTGCATGCTGAACAGGCGGGTGGACAGGTCCTTGCCGCCCGCCGCCAGCCAGAGCGAGTCGGCGCTCCAGTCGAGGGCGGTGATGTCGGCGTGGCAGTGGCCGTAGGTGCGGTGCAGCTCCATGGGGGCCACGGTCTTGGCCAGGCCAGGCGCCTTCCAAACCTGTGCGCCGGTGGAGCGCGCCGGGCAGGGAGAGGGGTGCGCAGCAGGGTGGGTTGGGTTGCCGGGGCAGGGGCGAGGGAGTGCGGGGCGGACGGGCAGGCAGGTGCTGAGGAGCATGCGGCAGGCGCACAGGCGCCCGCTCCCACCCACACCATCCCGGCGTGCACCAGCCGCAGCCCCAGGTCGCCCGCGCGGCCGCCTGCCGGCTGCGTGCACGGCGGCGGCAGCGGGCGCGCGCACCTGGAGGAGGCGCCCCACGGCGCAGGCCACGTACTTGCCATCTGGGCTGAACTTGGCGGCACGGACGGGCCCCTTGAAGGAGAAGTGGTGGAGCAGCGCTCGGCGGCGCCTTCTGACCACCACCGCCCGCCCCTCGTCGTCGATCGACAGCAGGATGCGGCCGTCGGGGCTGACCGCGATGGTGCGCACCTGGCGCCCGTTTTCGAACGGCAGCGTGCTGCTGACCGACTCGGTGAGGTTGATCTGCAGAGGGCGGCAGCAGGGGTGAGAGGTGGCGGCAGGCGGCCCTGGCGGCGGCGGCGGCAGCGTGCGGGGCGTCCTGCCGGCATGCATGCGCTGCTACCGCTGCCACCAGGCTCTCCCGGTGCATCCAGGCGCACCTGAGTGACCCTGTTGCCCACAGGAGTGAGCAACTCGTTGCCGTGGATGAGCAGGTTGCCACCCCGGTAGGGGGCGCCCAGCAGGCTCTGAAATTGGTAATTCATGGCTATGTGTCCGCCTTCGCTCCAGGCTGCAGCTTTTCAGAGGCAAAGCATGTGCATGTCGGGAACTGTGTGCGTCCGGTTCTGCTCCGTCAAGTCCAACACCTGGCGGCACTGTTGCATTGGATTCGCATGCGGGAGCGCGCGCCGTGAGGCCGACCATTCCGTACCATGCTGTACTGCCGCAGCTGGTAATTTGCTCCCGCGTGCAGAAACGCGCTTTCAACGCGCGCATGCCTACTAGTGATGGTCTGAAAGTGTGTCTGAAGGCGCCTAATCGCACTATCAGCCCTTGAACAGCAACTTGGGAGCCAGCCGTTCCCATTCCTCCTACCCCTGCTGCCCGCACCCCGCTGCTACCACGTTTCGCGCACCATATAGTCACAGCCTGCACTGCCAGCAACCCCCGCGGAGCAGCAATTCCAGCCGCCTGAATACCCGCCGCCGCCGGCAGGTCATGCCCCTCCCCTCTGCAGTTGGCCGCTCCCAGGTAGGCGCAGGCCGCCAGGTGTGGTTTGTTCAGCAATGGGGGTGCATGTTGCGCTTGGGAAGGAGGCACGCAGCGACGAGTGGCCGTTGTTACATGTCGTTGTTACATGGCAGATGCCGCCGCCTCTGACGCTTCTGCCTTTGCTGCAGGGCCTGCACGCTGCGCCCCGGCCCATGGCACGAGCGAGCAGCTGTGCTGCATCCTGGGGCTGCACCGCCAGTGACAGTCAGGGGCGGGCACGCCGGCTGCAGCAGCAGCATGTTCTGAACCGCCAAGTGGCGGCCGCGACGCTGAACCAGCAGCAGCGCCTGCTCCAGCAGCTGGTCGAGGCCCAGCAGGCGCTGCGCCGCCAGCAGGCGCTGCGCCAGCAGACAGACGCGGCACGGCAGCAGGCCGCGTGGCAGCAGCATGCGCAGCAGTGGGCAGCCCCCGCTGGCACGCCCGCCTATACCGGCACCATGGCACAACACCAGCAGGGCCACCACTACCAGCAGCAGCAGCAGCACCAGGCACACCAGCAGCGCTCTCGCCAGCACCACCGCCACTACGATGTTCCTGTGGATGTGGACGACTACTGGGGCCGCAGCAGGCCCAGCGCCACAGCAGGCGCGTGCCCTGTCCTTGCCAGTGGCAGCTCCTTGCCAGTGGCGGCTCCTTGCCAGTGGCGGCTCCTTGCTGGGCGGCGCAGGTCACACCTGGTGCTTCTCCCTTTCGGCACGCCGCCAGCAGCGCGTGGCTGTTGCCTCACCGTTGACTGCCATGTGTGCTGCTCCCTTCCTGTTCCGGTGCAGGCTCTGGCACAGCCCAAGGCCATGGCCACGGCAGCTTCCAAGGAGCTGGGCGCAGCAGCAGCAGCAGCGCTCACAACACCAACACCAGCGGCGGTAGGAGCGAGCACGCGTGGTGGCAGGAGTTTGCGCAGGAGGCCTCTGGCGGCTTCCATTACCAGTCGTACCGCGGCGGCGGCACCTCTCGTGGCACGGCACAGCAGCAGGCCGGGCAGGGCACGCAGCATGCCACGGCCACCAGCAGCGCCGGCACGGAGCAGGATGTGCGGGGCGAGCTGGCGGCGCTGCTGAAGCAGTCTGGCGGAGACCTGGTGTGTTTTGTGGCGGCGCTGGGCATCCAGTTTGAGGGCGGCGCGGACCGGCAGGCAAGCATGCGCAATGCCCGCTCGGCAGCCCTCCTCCGCCTCCACCCCGACAAGCTGCTGCAGTCCAGCGCGCGGCAGCAGGCCTTCGGGGCCCATGCCACGCAGATGGTGAATGAGCTGTGGCAGGCTGGCGGCCGCCGCTGAGCTCAGCGTTCAGCTGGGCAGGTGTCGAACATTACAGTGAGCGGGCAGCGCTGCTGCCGAGTCCATTTCATGACGCTTACTTGAGACTTTGTATTCTTGCACTGACTCCACTTGACATTTGTACCTTTCCTATTTGCCACGGAGCCCGTCGGCTACTGCCGTACTGTTGTATGCTTGGTGTGTTTTGCCTGCATCATTTGCAGTTCCACCCTCTCAACATTTTCCAAACAGCCACCATGCTTTCTGTCCCTGACTTATACCACTTGTTGAATCCCGGCTGTAACACAGGAATGCACTGGCCAGGAATGCACTAAATTGATTAATAGACGACTTGCCAGGCTGAGGCACTGGCCAGGCAGAGCAAGGCAAGACGCCGTTGTCATGCAAGGCCGCATCCACAAACCGCTATGGCAAGCTCAGGGGGGGCAGGTGCGAGATGAAATGCTGTCCATTATGTCTGCCAGTGATACAGCCACTCAAGGATCCGCCCACCTGTGCTGCCCTTCAGTCCCTGACAGCGGGTCGCCACTTAGGGAGGCCGCCGCCGCCCCCAACCTTGGCCGTCGCACCCATCCGGGCGCCACGAGGGTCCACGAACGTCTGGAACGCCTCCATTTACATTCCAACGGCGCGTAGGATGGTGTAGCGACACGCCGACGGCCGAGAAAAAACCACACACGACCTCCGCTTTCTTTTATGGCACGCGCGTAGCCCAGCCTCGAAAAAGCCTGCCTAACGCTCTGAAACTACTACTTGCCCATCATTCGTGTTTGTCGGCCCCAACCTTGTTGTTACCCGCTTCTAGCATCCGCCGAGCCTCGCCCCCCGCCCCGCCGCTGCCCAAACAGGCAGCGCAACAGGTAGCGCAACCCTCAGCAGTTGCCGCGGGGCCGCCGCGCCGCAGCGGCGCCTGGGACCAGACTCGGCTGCTGACGCCACCCCGGCGGTCGCGCCGCCGCCGCCACCCGCCGACCAGCTGAGGCACGCGCCTGGAGCCATGGCGGTCGCTGCCAAGGGGGCGCCGGAGTGCCCGGTGTTCCGGCCCACCATCCAGGAGGTCAACAGCATGTCGTTTGTGGAGTATGTGGAGCGGCTGGAGAAGCAGAAGAGCTTCCGCGAGGCCGGCATCTGCAAGATAGTGGCGCCCGACGGCTGGGCGCCCCGCCGCACCGGCTACAGCCGCCTCAACTTCGAGCTGCCCAGGTGCGGCGGGGGGGCGCCAGGAAGCTGCAGGGACGGGCAGGCGGGGCCGGCTGCAGGGCGCAGCCATAGGGTTTCGTGGCGATGCGCACCACGGCGGCGCCGTCGGCCCTCGCCGGCCTCCCCCCGCCCCATCTGCCTGCCCCCCGTGCTGCCCCGCGCGCAGGCCCATCCGTCAGCACGCCACGGGGAGGCAGGGCCTGTACCGCACGCTGATGGTGGAGGGGCGGCGCATGTCGCTGGACGAGTTCCGGGACATGGCGCGGGAGGACATCAACGCGGCGCCACGCGAGGCGGAGCCCGAGGAGCTGGAGCGCCAGTTCTGGCGCAACGTCACGCTCAAACCGCCGCTCTACGGTGGGTGGGTGGACAGGCGGGCGGGGCGGCGCAGGGTTGGGGAGGCTCTGGAGCTGGTTGGTGTTTGGTTTTTGGCAGGGGTGAGGTGGTGTGGGGCTGGGTCGTGGTGTGGTGGTGGTGGCGGAGCGGAGGCGTGCTGCGCAGGGCTGCGCCCGACCACGCCGCCTTGCCTTGCGCCCCGCCATGCAGGCGCCGACATCCCCGGCAGCCTGTTTGAGCCGCAGTGCAAGGTGGGACCTGCGGCAGGCAGGCAGCCGGCCAGCCTCGTGTTGCCGTGCAGGCATCTGGGGCCCCTGCAGCTCCAGCCTGCGACAGCGCGCCGCCCTGCCGGCCCGCCTCGCCGGGCGCTGCGCCGACGCGCCCGCCGGCCCGCCTGCGCCGTCGCCCGCGTGCAGGGCTGGACGCTGCGCCGTCTGCGCAGCCTGCTGAGCGAGACGCTGGAGGAGCAGGGCATCAAGATGCCGGGGGTGAACGAGCCCTACCTCTACATCGGCTCCTGGCGCTCCATGTTCGCCTGGCACACCGAGGACATGGACTTGCATTCGGTCAACTACCTGCACTATGGAGCATCCAAGCAGTGGTGGGTGGGGCCACGACATGGAGGACGGGGAGGGCGGGAGGGAGGGAGGGGCGGGGCGGGCGCTCGCGTGGGTGGTGGCGCTGCGCAGGGCTGCCGCGGCGGGTGGAGGTCTGCTGCAGCATGATACCTTGTGCTGGCTCTGTTCGTGCCCCTGCCCTTTCTTTCTTGGCACCCACGCGCGCGCCCCGCCCGCCCGCTGCAGGTATGTGGTGCCCCCCGCCCACCGCCAGCGCTTTGAGCTGCTGATGCGCAGCCTGCTGCAAGACCTGTTCCGAGCCTGCCCCGAGTTCATGAGGCACAAGGTGCGCGGCCAGCGGCTGCATCCGCTGCCGCCCGCCAGGCGGAGGCTCCAGCTACCCTGCCCCATGGGCAACGATGGTCCTGCTCGCCTGCCGGCCCACGCCCAGCCGTGCGCTGCGCCCCCACCCCGCCTGCCTGGCGCAGGAGCTGCTGGTGTCGCCCCAGCTGCTGGCCTCCCACGCCATCCCCGTGGTCAAGGTGGTGCACCACCCGCGCGAGTTTGTGGTGGTGTTCCCGGGGGCGTACCACAGGTGGGGGGCGCTGCTGGCTGGCAGGGCGCGCGTGCGTGGCGCCTGTGCGCGGCAGCATCCCATGCCCAGCAAGGCTGGCGCCAGCCCCCTGCACCTGCCCCGCCGCCATCTCGCCCCGCATCGGCCCACCGTCCTCCCCGCGCTCTCCCCCCCCCCTGCCCGCAGCGGCTTCAACCACGGCTTCAACATCGCCGAGTCAGTCAACTTTGCCACCAAGGCCTGGCTGCCCGTGGGCGCAGAGGCCGGCTTCTGCGAGTGCCAGTCGGTGCGTGGGAGTCAGTGACGTGCAGGCGGCTGGCTGGGGGTGTGGGAGGGCTTGGGCCTCCCCGTGTCGGCCACGGGCGACCTGCCACCCCTGGAGCCCGCCCACCCGCGCCTCGCTTGTCCTGCTGGGCTCCGGTTGCCGCTCCGTGACCTGTGTTGGCCGCCCCTGGGCCGCCCCTTGCCGTACCGCCTGCAGGACAGCGCGCGCATCGACATGCGCCTGTTCCGCGCCCACATGGCTCCCAAGCTGCGGCGCCACGTGGACGACATGTATGCCAGCTCATCAGAGGAGGAGGAGGAGGAGAGCGAGGAGGAGGACAGCTGCTGCACAGGTGCGCCGCGCTGCTGGTTGCCGCCGCAGCCGGGTTGGTTGCTAGGAAGCCTGCTGGCCCTGGTAGCTGGCTGGCTTCGCAGCGCTGAGCTGGCGTGGTCCCGTACCTGTGACCTGGGCTCTGCAGGTGCCGACGCAAGCGAGGAGGAGGAGGAGGAGGAGGAAGAGGAGGAGGAGGCAGGGAGCAGCGACGAGGAGGTAGCGCTGCGGCAGCAGAAGCAGAAGCGCCCGCGGCAGCAGCAGCACAAGCCGCGCCCGCGCCGGCGGCGGCGGGTGCAGTTGGATTCTGAGGCTGAGTCCACGTCTGATCGGGAGGAGGAGGCGGAGGAGGCGCGTGCAGCCAAGCGGGCCAGGGCAGGCCGCACCGGCGGCGGCCGCAGCATGATGGCAGCAGTAGCGGCGCCACCCGTGATGCTGCCGCCGGCTGTGCCGGCCAGCACACGACCGCAGCGCGCCAGGCGCGCCCCTCGCCGAGATCTGGACATGGTGCCTGTGCGCCTGCGGCCCCCAACCGCCACCAACGGCAGCATGCAGCCCTACCGCCAGCAGCAGCAGCAAGCCGCGGCCCCCGGCAAGATGCGCGGCGCGGCAGCAGCAGCAGCGGCGCCGCCGCCTGCGCAGCCCAGCCTCGCCGCAGCAGCAGCCACCCGCAAGCGCAGCCGCTCGCGCAGCCTGGCTGCCAGGAGCAAGGCGGCGGTGGCGCCGACATCCAAGGTTGTGGGCACCAGCAGCCGCGGCCGCCCGCTGCTCCTCAAGATTGTCGACTCAGCCGTGTCCCTGCTGCCCCACTTTGGCGGGCACCGGTAGAGGGGCGGCTCACAGCGCGCTCCGCTCCTGCTGGCGCGGTCGTGGCGCCCTTCTGCTGGCGTGGTCGAGGGGCACCGCGGCAGGAGCCAGCAGCACTGCTGGCGTGCTTCATAAGCAGGGCAGCTCCGCCAACCCGGCCAATCGCTCCATGCTCCATCCATGTGTGTGTATCAATACTTGCAGTAGGCTTCATCTCCCTGGTCTGCCATCCCACGGCTCGAGCCCGCCTTGATTTGCCGTACCCCCCTTCCGCTCCCCTCTCTGAACATCCGCATGCCGCATTTTCCGTCCTCTGCGCCTTCGTTGCCTGCTCCTCTAGGGGGATCTTCCTTCTGCCTGCTGCTGTTCGTACTGTTGTTCGCCGCCGCTGTGATGCGGTGCTTCGCTTGCGCTGTCGGGCGGCCCGCCGCGCCGGTTTGTTGCACAGCTTTCATTGAGCTGCTTCTGCAAGGGGATGGCACCTTGCAACACACGTGCAGCCCAAGTTCTGAGCAGCGCGAGGTGCATTGTCCAGGGGGCTCCGCTGCAGTGTACCGGTCCAGGGCCGCGATGCTGCTGCCAGCTCAACCTAATCACATCTCGCGAGCGCAATCATAAACCCTCAAACAGCTATAGAACCCCATTTTAGCTCTGTTCCCATTTGCACTGTGGCCTGCGCGGGCGATGCAGCGGCAGCTGAGCCAAACCTGCTGTGGCCCGCTGCACCCTCCAGCGCGGCTGGCCGCCTGTCGGATCAAGGGGTAGGTCCGGTCATCGACTGGCATCGGCTGTGGCAGCCTTGGCCACAAGCATTCTGACCTGCGGCAAAATGCTGCTGCAGACGTTCCGCGAGAACTCAAGGGGCACACACAACGCGTCGCGGCAAGCCCACCGTCCCGATGGTGGCGCGCAGCAATGGAGGAGAGGGACCCGGTGGCCGGCGGGCAGTGGCGGCGGCCGCTAGCGGCGCCGCTGAGTGCGGTGCCATCGGCAAGCGAGCCGTGGTGGTTGGCGCAGGCAAGTGGCTGCCCATGCCCCTTTACAATATACGTGAGCAACGTTTCAGCGCAGCCTTGTGTCGCCCCTTGAGCCAACTATTGGCACCCCCACGCTCCACGCCCTCTCGAGCCGCCCGCCACCGCGCCGCGGCGTCGTGCAGGCCCCGCCGGCGCGCTCGCCGCCATGCTGCTGGCCAAGCAGGGGTGGCAGGTGGACGTGTTTGAGCGCCTGGCGCCGCTGGTGGGCGAGGGCGGCGAGGTGCAGGCCTCCATCGGCCCCCGCTCATACAACATCTTGCTCAGCGAGCGGGCGGTCGCGGCCATGGAGGCGGCGGGCGCCGACCTCCGCGGCTTCGACATCCCCGACCTCCAGCACTCGCTGCGCCACAAGTGAGGCTGGGTGGCAGGGGGCGGGCTGCGGCTGTTGCTGGCAGGCAGGCCGCGTATGTGGCCTTGAGCCAGTGGGTGGGCGGGTGGGGCGTTGGCAAGCTTGCGCCTGGCTGAGCCCTGCCCTGTGGCGCAGGCTGAAGGGCGGGCCCACTGAGGGCTCCACCTCGCCGCTGCCGGGCCGCCTCAAGCTGGCCAACCGCGGCACGCTGGCGGGTGCGCTGGTGCAGCAGTGCCTGGCGCAGCACGGCGACAAGGTGCAGGTGAGTGGCCCCGCTCCAAGCTGCCGCCATGCCGCATTGTGCTCGGCTTCCTGCCTGGGTGGCCTGCGCTGTGCCCTCTGTACCTCTCTGTTCACTTCCGTCCCACTTGCCTGCCTCCCTCCCCTGCAGTTCCACTTCCAGCAGGCGGCTGAGATGATCGACGCAGGCAACAGCATCGCCTACTTCCGCCCGGTGGGGTCGGCAGCAGACGGCGCCGCCATGGCCAGCGCCAGCGCGGGCAGCGGAGGCGGCTGCGGGTGCGACTCTGGCGGCGGCGACGGCGGGGCCGCGGGGGCTGCGGCAGGCGGCAGCGCCGGCGTGCTGCAGGCGCCTGCGGGGGCGCTGACGCAGCAGCACACGCCCGCCTCCCCAGACGCCCTCGTTTCGTACACCTTCGACCTGCTGGTTGCGGCAGACGGGGCGGGCAGCATGGTGCGCAAGGTCCTGGAGCGGCACGACGCGGGGCTGAGGGTGGGGGTGACGCGAGACGTGATGGAGTTCCGGATCTGTGTGCTGGGAGCCGCCGACCAGTTCTTGTCGCCGGGGGTGGGCGCGGTGGGCACCTTCCAAACCTGGACAAACCCCAAGGTGTGTGGGAGGAGGGAGGAGGCAGGTGGCTGAGCAGGCAGGCGGGCGAGGATGCGAGCAGGAGATGGGCGCGCGGCAGCGCCGCTTGGCTTGCCTGCCTCGTGCTGGGCACCCAAGGCGGCCTGGCTGATGCTGCTCGTGGCTGAGTTGAGGCCTGCGTGCTCCCTGCCATGCAGCTGCAAGCCACTTTTATTGGGTCGTCCACCAAAGATGGCCAGCTGCGATGTGTGTTCATCCTGCCACAAGGGGTGAGGCGCGGGCCTGCGGCAGGGCCGGATGGTGCCTGTGGCCCTGCACCGCGCAGCAGCAGGATCATCTGGGGCTGGGACACCTGCCTGCCTGCCGGCGGGCACGCACCCAAGCCCTGCGTGACCAAGCTATGTGCCACCCGGGGCCCTGCCAGGTGCACGCCTCGCTCAAGACTGTGGCAGACTACGAGTCTTACCTGGCCGAGGCCATCCCCAGCCTGCCACAGGATGCCATCAAGGTGCCCGCCCGCCTTCTTGCCTGGTCGCCTGCTGATTGGTTGATTCCTTGCTGGTTGGCTGCCTGCTTTCATGGCCCTGTGAGTGGAGGCATACTTGGCCCAGCGCCAGCCGCCGCCTCCCCTGCATTCTGTTTGCAGCGCGCCGCCCCGCAGCTGCTAGACTCGCCCATCTCAAACGGCGGCACCATCGTGCGCTGCTCCAAGTTGAACAGGTTGGTGTGTGCTGTGGGGGCGACTCGCCTGGTTGTGAGACGTGGCTGTACAGCAATGTCAGGCTGGTGCCTGCCTGATGGTCATCACAAGCCAATGCTTGTGCAGCCAGCTGTCATCGCTGCTTGAGTTGGTCTCAGTCCATCTACTGCCATGCCCTGACCCCTGCTGCCATGCCGTGGCCGTGCAGCCGCAATGTTGTGCTGGTGGGGGACGCGGGTCACAGCGTGTACCCAGCGCTGGGGCAGGGCGCCAACGCGGCGCTGGAGGGGGCAGCCACGCTGGCGGCGGTGCTGCAAGGCAAGCGCTCCCGCCAAGGAGCCCCACGCTGTCCTGGCTCTCACGCCCGCTGTACCTCACCCTCATGCCTGCCGGCAGCGTCTGCTGTGGTTGGGCCCAAAGGCGCACTCTCCCGCACACACCTACCCACGCTCACGTACGCACACTCATCCCCGCTGTTTGCAGAGGTGGGCGCCCAGGACGTGGAGGCTGTCGCAGCCGAGTACTCCCGCCGCTGGCTGCCCAACGCGCTGGCTGTGGCGGAGCTGACTGAGGAGGGGTTTGGCAAGAATGCGAGGGCATTTGCGCCCAACCTCAAGCTGGTCCAGCTCATCTGCCAGATGCTGCTGCACAAGCTGCTGCCCTTCCTGGTGCCCATGCCCGCCTTCTTCCAGGCAAGCAAGGCGCTGGGGGCGGCAGGCAAGCGTGCGTTTTGACGTGGTGCCTGGGGGCTGCAAGGGAGGTGCAGGCACTTCGCCAGCACACTTTCGGCAGCTGCCTCGCTTGCATTCTTGGCTGTGCTGCACCGACCCCCTGTTTCACCTATCCTCGCCTTGCTTCACTGCGCTGCAGATAAACTCCACCAGCATGCCCTACGCCGAGATCCTGAGGCGCAGCAAGCGGGAGATGGCGGTGTTCAAGGCCGGCCTGGTGGCCGCCTCAGCCGCCATAGCGGCCGCGCTGCTGCGCCACTGTGTGCGCCCCGCGCTGGCGGCGCTGGGCCTGGCCTGATCCACATGGCATCTCGCTTGAGCAGCCGCATTGTTTCGTCAAATTGCATGCACAGACCCAATATGTGACCTGCGTTACTGCTTCTTGGGAGGTTGTGTTGTTGCCTGCACTCAAAACGCCTACTGCTCCATTCGCTAGGTTACAATCCTGGGAGCCATACCGTCAGGGTACTGCATCCTCAAGGTACTGCATCGAAAAAAGTACACCGTAAACAAATTGGCAGGGAAATACCCACGGCGCCAGGCCACCGCAAAGATTGGTGCAAGCACTGCGAGCAGCGAAAGGGCAAAGTGCGATACCTAACAGAGAAAATGAGCCAAGAGGGGAGTACTGAATTGCGGCGCAGGCGCGGTTCGGAATGGCAGGGGGTTCAGGCGCCCAGCAGCAGCCGGGCAGGCCCGAGCGTGAATACGTTGGGGAGGCCGTGTTGATATCAGGGTGTTTGGGACAAGATGGAAGGGTTTTCATCAATAGGGTATCACATCGCGCCGACGGGCATGGGCACGCGGGGGGGGGGCTCCCAAGTTTCCCTCGCCGGGCTGTTCAGCTGCATCTTCAGGCATCCTGGGGGATCAGCAGGATGCGGGAGTAGCCCTGGACCCCATACACCGGGTCCACCCCTGCGCAGCGGAAGGGGGGGGGGGGGGCAGGGTTGTGCAGCGAGCACGAGTGACCGATGGATGGTGTGGCGGGCGGGCTTTGCACAGCACGGTACGGCGCAGTGAGCAGCCACCCGGAGCATACAAACCCCTCCCGCCCCCAGCCCCCATGACAGCCACGCCTTGGGCCCACCTGCGTTGCCGCCGGGCGTGTAGTCCTTTGGCGGCGCCAGGTTTGTGTCCACCACGCGGCACCACTTCTTGCCGCGCGGCGGCGAGGGCAGGGTGACTCGCACCTCAAAGGAGTGGGCGTTGAAGGCGGCGTACAGCGAGCCGCAGCCCTGGCCCCTGCAGGTGGCGGGTGAAGGTAGGTGAAGGGGCTGTTGGGGTGGGGGCGGGCGTACATGGGGCACGCAGGTGCAGCAGGGGACAGTCAAGTGAGACACTGAGGGGCCAGGTGCAGCCGCAGCCACACTCGGTCCTGCCTCGGAGCCCCGGCTGGGGGGCGGGCCGCTGCCTACCTGTCGTGCAGAGTGAAGGCCAGGAAGCGGCTCTCGGGGTCGTCCCAGCGGTCCTCGTGCCACGTCACGTCCTGCAACCACAGCACGCACAGCATGACACGACAGACAGACAGCCCAGTCAGCGAGGGCCAAGGAGTGGCACAAGGGGCTCCACGTACAGCAGCCGGTGCGCCCCGCGCCGCGCCCAGCGCCGCTCCGGCTGCTGCTGCGGCCGCTGCTGGACGCGCCCACCTGCGTGGTGAGGAACTCGGCACGCCCCAGCAGCGGGTTGTCGCGCCTGAACTTGATCAGCTCGCTGTAGAAGCTGCGCAGGGCAGGCGGGGCGGGGCAGAGGAATGTTTAAACATGTTGGCGGCGGTGGTTGCGGGAGAGGGGGGACACGCCAGGCGAGCCATGCACCCAGCAGCCAGCCTTGCCAGCGCTCGAGCAGGCCGGCGAGGCCCGCTCGCTCACCGGAACCAGCCGTTCTGCTTGGCCTGCTCCAGCTGGTCCCAGTGGTAGTGCGTGAGCGGCGTGTCGTGGCCATAGTAGTTGTTGTTGCCCTGCCGGCTCTGCCCGTACTCGTCGCCTGCAAGGAAGGGAAGCGAAGGTTGGCTAGGGAGGAGACGGAGTGGGGGCGGCTGGCACGACGCAGGGCAAAGAGGCAGCGGAAGGAATGAGGAGCAAAGCAGTGGTTGCAGGGGCAGGAGCCAGGCGCGGCGGCAGCCAGCGGCGGGCAGGGGGAAGGCAGGGTGGCAGCAGGCGGGGCGCGCACCCATGAGCAGCATGGGTGTGCCCTGGGACAGCATGAGGGCCAGGTGGTAGTTGCGCATCTGCAGGCGGGTGGCGCAGTGGCAGGCGGCAGGCGGCTGGGCTCAGCGTGGGACCAGCAGGCAGGGGGCAGGCCAGGTGTTCTGAGCGGCAAGCGGCGGCTGGCAGCGCAATGTGCGAGTGTGCACGTCGGCGGCAGGCAGCGGCGCCGCACCTGGCGCTGGCGCAGCGCCTTGACGGCGCCGTTGTCTGTGGGCCCCTCCACGCCGCAGTTCCAGCTGAAGTTGTCGTTGGTGCCGTCGCCTGCGAGGCGGGTGGGGGGTGGGGTTGGGGGGCAGCGAGGACAGCGTGTGTGTGTTGAGGGGTGATGGGGCAACAGCATGATGCGCAGCCGCAAGGGCCTCCGCCTCCTCGCTGCCGAGCACCGCTTCCTGAGGCAATTTCCACCCCGCGCCCCCGCCCCGCTCACGGTTCTGCTCCCCGTTGGCGTCGTTGTGCTTGTCGTTGTAAGCCACCATGTCCGCCAGAGTGAAGCCGTCGTGGGCGATGACAAAGTTGACGGAGTGGAAGGGCTTGCGGTTGTGGGTGTGGTACAGGTCCGCGCTGCCCGCCAGCCGCGTGGCAAACTCGCTCTTCAGGCCAGCGTCGCCCCTGGGGGGGTGAGTGGGGCGTGACGGGAAGAAGGGTTCAAGGCAGCAACGGGGGCGTGAAGGGCACGGGTGGAGGCACACGCTGTGGGTGTGGTGAGGTGTGAAGCGCCATGCCCGAGCTCCGCATGCAGTGGGTGCCACCCTCCGCATGCAGCACCCCTGCCCACCACCACACCTCAGGAAGCGGCGCACGTCGTCCCGGTACTTTCCATTCCACTCCGCCCAGATGTCCCAGTTGGGGAAGGAGCCCACCATGTAGGCGCCAATGTCCCAGGGCTCGGCAATCAGCTTCACCTGCAGGGGCAAGGCACGGGCGGGGCAGGGGTGGGCGGGGTAACGAGGGGCAAAACCAGGCAGGCCGTCGAGCGCCGGCGGCGGCAGTGCGAAGCGGATGAGCGGCTGCTGGCCAGGCGCGGTCACGCATGCGAGCATGCCAGGGACACAGAACCATTCGCTGCTGCCTGCACAGCATGGCTGCCCTACCCCAAGACGCACACGCACACACCACACCACACCGGACAGCCCCACCTTGGACAGCACCGGGTCCTTGGTGATGGCCCGCACCAAGGGCGGGTTGCTCATCACCTTGCCGGTGGCGTCGCGGCACAGGCAGGGTGCTGCAAGGGGGAAAGGAGGCACGGGTGGGCACAGGAGGGCAGGAGCCGGTTGCGTGAATCCCCCAGGAAGAGGTGGCATGCACCCACACTCACATCACACGCCGCCACTAGCCAGGGTCCCAACACCCTCACGCACACACCCCTCACCCCCCTCCCTTCCTCACCCAGGTCGAATCTGAAGCCATCCACGTGGTACTCCTCCACCCACCACCGCAGGCTGTCCACAATCTGCTGCGCGGTGGCGGGGTGGTTGGCGTTGACCGTGTTGCCGCAGCCACTGCAGGTGAGGGGCAGGGGGCAGGTCGCAGGAGGCGCGCAGGCACGGCGTTGAGGAGTTGGTAAGCAGAGGGGCATCAAGGAGGAGGCAAGGGGATCGGCTGCATATGTGACACCGGCCCCGAGGCCAGCTCGGGCCCGCCATCGCCCACGCTCCCACCCCTCCCTGCGCTGCAGGACCAGCAGCTGCAGACCCACACCCACACACCCACACAGCCCCACCTGTAGTTGAGCATCTTGACGTACGAGTCGGGGTCCTGCTGGTAGTACGCCCCCGCATCGATGCCCCGCCAGCTCAGCAGGTACGAGTCCTCGTCGCCGCCTGCGGCAGCGGGGGAGCGGGGCGGGAGTTGGGGAGGCGGGGAGGCACGCTTGGCGCGCGTGGGAGCAGCTGGCGCCGGCAGCCACCTGCGGTCACCCAGTGGCAAGGCACACACGCGCCACCATCCCCCCACCACCACACCACACCACCACCAACGACACTGATGCTACCACACGCACATGCGCCCATACCCCCCCCCCACCCCACCCACCACCACCACCCCACCCACCCTCCACCGTGTGGTTGTACACGACGTCGATGATGACCTCGATGCCCGCAGCGTGCAGAGCGCGCACCATCTCCTTGAACTCGCGGGCGGCGGCCAGCGGGCCCGCGCCGTCTGCACAACAGGGCGCCATACGTGACAGCGACGTGCACACGCACAGATCAGCGTTTGGGCCGAAAGCAGGGCGGGCGGCAGGCATGGGATGGGCCAGCGAGAGAGGCGCTCCTGGGGTACCGGGCGAGCAGCAGGGCCGGCGCGGGCATGGGGAGGGGGGCAGGGATTGGGGCGCGCGGAGAGGCCTCGGGACGCCAGCCCACTCACCCGACCCGAAGCGGCTCATGGGGGCGAAGAAGTTGAGGTGGCTGTAGCCCCACACATTCA